CTGAGCCATCCCGAAGGCAGCACATGCGACACGAACCTGAATTCTAGTGAGCACCATGAATAAAAAAGTTTTCGCAAAAAATGAAATTCGAAGACTCAAACACCCAAGAGTACGTTGAAATGACGTTTTCTCACGAGTGATGATATTCGCAGCCCTTCCAAGTTCATCATTACTTCGGGGAAAAAAGTGTGATTTCTTTTGAAACACCCCCTTATGTCGCCTTATTCTTCATACATAACAAACACTCATGGTTAATGTTTCTTAATACAGCATATAGTGTTTTAAAAATGTAATAAAAATGGCCTTAAACATCGGAGTAATTAATGTATGGTATGATAGATAAATGAACATACAAAACGAAGTTTTAGATGTATATTTAGTGTAGAGGTTTGGATTTTCCTAAAAGTTTATTATTATTAGAGTTATATGTACGAAGAAATATACTTATTTCAGGATTTTCACGCAAAACTACACAAAGGGCTATCTGCGCTTAGGAGTACCTAATTTCAAACTGATTGACTGAATAGAAGAGAGCTTGTCAGCAGTATCCACCGTCAACTCTGGGACTACTTTTTCTGGCTGAATAGCGGGATGTGACCCTCACTCTTATATCGTCACATACAAGACCCAAATTGCGGAAGACGGTTTTACGGCAACTGGTCGCAAACCACGAACCTTTTAATTCACAGTCTGAGCACGCTAATCACTAGGCCCAAAATATGACATGATTATTTAAGAACTAATTATAAGGCATGTAATTTTAATATTTAAAAATATTAAATATGAGAATTATTTTGTGTTAATTATGATACTCTCTTATTTGACCGTTTTTCTTGTTTTAATGTCTTATCCATAAAGACTTAGAATGTAATCTTGTATCACTACGTTCAGTATGCAATGCTACGTTAAATACGTGTTATATTATGTATCATTTCGTTGCGTGCATGGTACTGTGTTAAACACACGCTATTTCATACCATTACGTTGATAATAGAATACAGTGTTAAACAGCATGACAAACAGTAGCGAAAATAAAAGTACAACAACCTAAAACTAATCCATTACATAAAGCTGTATTATATAGGTTTGATTGTTACAGTTAAATTGAAAATAATAATGCCAAAGAGACGTAAAATACATCATTTCATGCAAAAAAAGTAAATGCTAGAACAGTCGATTTCAATAATAATTGATTTACCATATGAAAAGTATATAAAACTACAGTTCTATATCAAGAAATGAAAACTGACTCTGTTGTAATGTGATACAACAATGGGTTTTAAGAGCTGCAGCATTATATCTTTCCAGAAATAACTCTGATGGTTATATTAACTATGTTTGTCCAGCAAGATGTAAAATAAGTCGATGTTTTTATTTACCATGGCTTACCTTTCATGACTCATACTAGAGGTATGTTATTATTTTTGAGAGTATGTATAGTTTTATTACAGTTGTTCGCGTCTTTTACATCATAATAAATAATAATAATTATGGCCAAGTTAGTGTAATTAGATTAATTCAAACGTTATGGCTTTGAGAGAGGGATCTCAGTGTCTTTTAAGAATTCCTTTTCAGAAGCATTTTTTGTTATCGTATTTAATGTATAATACAGTCTGGAAATAATGAATAAAATGAATTGACCGATATCTCTGTGCAGATACGTAAAAAAAAGAAAACAAAATGCATGCACACTCAAAGTTATTGCCACTTTCAAGAATATTTTCACTTTTCATACTTCAATTAGGCTAATCCGTAGCTAACTCTAGATCTCAGCATGTTAAATGTTTCCCGCTGTGATTTATTGACACTTTGGCTGTCAGTAGTGTCAACTAAACCATTTCGGTGTTGTTCACTACATGGTACGGAAGGAAAATACGTACTAGTATTAATAGCATGCCACTAACACAAAGAATGAAAAGCGCTAATTAAGCACTTGCTCTGTTTTACTAATTTGGAATCCCTTGGGTGTTGAAAGAAAAATGATTAATTTTGTTAAATGTCCTCTTAAGACAACTTTCGTTTCGGTAATCTATTATAATGTGGATCAATTAACGAAACTATTTTTCAATAAAGCATATCTATCTATCTATCTATCATCCATTTTAAATATGTAGTAGTATGTAATAATTATTTATAGACGTTACAGGTAAGAGTGATAAATTTCTTATGTAAAAATGTAATGGATTAATGTGTTTTTATTTCCTTGTAAAAAAACTGGTTGTTTGGAGTCAAACTTGTAAAAAGTGGTTTCAAAACGTATCTATCTATCTATCCCTGATTTTGTGTATTCTTTTATCTATTTACAGGTTTACATCGAAACCAAATGGATAAATTAAATATTCCATGAAAGGTTATTCTGATTTTTCTTTAATTTTTACATTAAAGTTCCAAATACAAAGAGTGACTACTTATCGGCGAATTGCTCTACATAACATTTGTAATTGTTAGCGTAAATGTCATAAATATAAAACTTTATAATTATATTTTATATTTTGTTCTTCACACACAAACTCTAACA